TAGGAAAGAAGGAACTTTTTCCCCACTACAGCTCCAAGTTTACTCAAAATGAGTCAGGCTTAAACTCAAAAGCTTTAGACAACAAGAGAGGGAAAGCTTGTGGTGCTGAGTTCGTAAGAGGTTTCAAAAGGACAGCAAAAGCAATAGGAAAGACAAATCGGGTGTCACACAGCTGAAAGCTTGAGGTCTCGAAGGATCCTGAAGACAGCATAGAAAGGCCACAGCCTGGGACTACACGATGGCTCAGTGGGAAAGGAGCTTGCTGCCAAGCCTGAGAACTTGAGTTCCATCCCTGGGACTCACAAATAGAAGGAGAGAACCAACTTCTGTGAGTTCTTCTGACCTCCACATGTGTGGTGTCATACGCCGTATTAGTTAGTTTTTTTTTTTTTTTTTTTTTTTTGCTGTGAAGAGACACCATGCTCACAGCAACTCTTACAAAGAAAACATTTGAGGCGATGGCTTACAGTTCCCCAAGTTCATGATAGGCAGCATGGCAGCATGCAGGCAGATGTGGCACTGGCTACATCTTGACCAGAACAGAAGGCAGCAGGAGGTCAACAGACTGTCACACTGAGCATAGCTTGAGAAAAAGACCTCAAAGCCCGCCCCAAAAGTGGCACACTTCTTCCAAATAGACCACACCTACTCCAACAAAGCCACACCTCCTAGGAGTGCCACTTCCTTTGGGGACCATTTTCTTTCAAAAGCAACAGCTGAAAGTGTGGGTTGGGACCAGGCAGTGGTGACACACGCCTTTAATCTCAACACCTGGGAGACAGAGGCAGGCAAATATCTGTGAATTTGAGGCCAGCCTGGTCTACAGAGCAAGTTCCAGGACAGTCAGGACACAGATAAACCTCATCTCAAAAGCAAAGCAAAGCTAAAAGTGTGGGTTAGCTGGGAGGTGGTTCAGTTGAAAAACTACTTGGTTAGCACTCTCGAGGCCCTGGGTTTGATTCCCAGTATTGCATAGACTGGGTGTGGTGCAGACGCCTGTAGCTCCAGCTACAGAGTGAGCCTGAAGCCACCCTAGGATAACAACACAGTCTTAAAAAGAAAAGGCAAGCCCTCAGGCCAAAGGAAGGAGAAAGGGAGGGAGGGTCTGACAAACAAGGAAACGCACTGAAAACCCAGTATCAGGGAATTTACCCAATATGACGTTATATGAATTCCAAAAACAGAACCAAATAAAGTGTTTAAGAGTGCAAGTTATGTAAAACTGTAAGGAACATCAAGGTGGCTTCTACAGAGTTCCCCTGCAGAGGAGAGGTGTGGTCAAGGTGGCAGAAATTGCTGGGCTGCACTCGGCAGCAAACAACTTCAGCAAGTACCCAGTGAGCGGCTGAGCTGCAGGTGCTGCGGGCCCCAGCAGATCTGAAGTCTCTGTCCTTTGTGTAGCAGCTGCAATGTCAAGTGAGTGTGACTGCCACCAGCAGGCTTCTGGGGCTCAGCTGCAGCTCACACACTGCTCTCTCCGTTGAGTAGTTGCCTAGGACACATGTACATGAGTACATGCTTCTCCCTCCCTCCAACCCTCCCTCTCTCCATCTCTCCATCTCTTTGTCTCTGCATCTGTCTCTGACTCTGTCTCTCTGTGTCTCTCTGTGTCTCTGTCTGTCTCTGTCTCACTCACTCTCTCTCTCTCTCTCTCTCACTCTCTCTCTCTCTCACCTAGAGTTATTCAGAATAAAACTGTAGGCCCAAGTCAGTCTAGAAGACAGCCTCACAGGTAGTGCGAGGCTGACACTCCTGCTTCTGTTACAGTGGTTCAGGGTGCCATGAGCTGAGGTCATGTCAGGAAGAGCCCAGCTTGGAGCCTGGGGACCAGAGCTTTGGGGGGAGACTGCAAGGCCACTGGAACATTCACCTGCCTTGAGTATGAGCTAGTGAGGATGTGGACTGGACCCCAGTTGATCACCTGCCTCAGGTGTGGGTGGTCATAGCTGGCCACCTGCTTCGGGAGTGGGTACCCCTGGCCGACCACCTACTGTGGCCAGGCACTCTGTAACTGTGGCAGCTCCTGAATCCGGATACCCTGCCTTCTGCCCTGTGATTTCCACAAAGCATGTGGTAGGTGAAGTGAAGCATACCCTGCATAGGAGGCCAAGCACCAAGGCCCTGGGACTCTCAGGACAGGACTGGCAATGTCATTTTCTGCTGCACCTACTAGGTGCTAGCTGGCTAGTTAGGCTAGACAGGCTGTCCACCCCGGCAGCTGTTAGAGTTTGCTCTTGGGAACTGGAGGTGCAGAAACTTCTGTAGGTAGGTGCGGTGTGCTAACTGCTGTCATCCGTACTGACGGAGGGACCGTTTGCTGTGTAGCAATAGCAAGAGTTGCCGATGAGGTGACCACGGAAAGCTCAGGATCTGTTGCATCCTTCATGATAAAGCACCACCCCCTGCCTCCCCTCAGACTACATCATCATCCTCCAAACCCTGACCCCAGAGTCTGGAAGGAAGAAGGCAGGCCAGCTGGGTTCCAGGGCATCACGGTCACTGTCCACACTTAGAGCTGCCTCTCTTGGCTGACAGAGCTAAGCCAGGACCACACATCAGGAAAAGCGCCAGGAGAACTCAGGGCCGCAGGCAGGGATGTGGAGACCCCAGCCCATGAAGGCAAAAAGCTTCAACAGAGGCACACCCACTGATTCCCTGATGGCTGGCCACGTCACCTGACTGCCACAGCCGTAAAAAACACAGACTCTAGGGAGCTACCACCCTAGAAGCCACACTGCAGTCAGCGGTGTCACTCCGAGTCTCTGTGACCACTGGCCATTGGAGGCCATCCTTCAGCTAGGTGTGTCACTTAAGCGTCCTGAAAAGTGCTGTGAATGCCACAAGCCCATAGACCGATTTTCAAGCAACCCTAGGGACCCTTCTGTCTGGCTGAAGGCCGTGCGAGGATTGGCAGACAGAGCAGGGGAGAGCACCATGGCATTGATACTGGAGAACAGCGCCAGGGGTGGCCTGAAGGCAGAGACAACTGGGACCCAGGAACCAGGATGTGGCATTTAGCTCCATCTGGGGCGTGAGATGCCTGCATCTCAATACCGAATCCAAGAGAAGAGGACCTACATGAAGGGGGAACACGGTCCAGAATGCACACATGCACACACACATGCATACATCCACAGTGTGCCCCACAACACATACATATGCCCTTTTCCTATGTTCCTATGTAGGGGGGTGTCTAACTTGAAGTACTACTGTAAGAGTGCCCTAGTCCCAGGTCCCTGGTCTCCCACCACCTGAGGAGGTCTGTTACTGCTCCTGCCCACAAGCCGGGTTAGGACTCAGGTTCATTCTTAGCACTAGTCCAGGATGAAGAGATCACCAGCATCCCGCAATGGGGTCTACCCCTCATGTACTGTGGGAATTTCTTCCATCCCCTAGGATTTAGCCATGACTCTGAACAATCCAAGCCAGGCTCCGTGCCCCTCAGGTCCACAGGTAAGACCACATACCTGACCACAGTGGCACCCGAGGCTTAAGAGGGCCAAGAGAGGATTGGCTGCAACGATGACTGAACATGTACAGCCTATCTGCGGGGAGACCTGAGTAGGACCCAGGTGGCTAATTCTTCCATGACCTACCTTGAGGCTGACAAAACCAGAAAAGAGCAGCAGGCCAGGATCCTGGCTCAGCCTCAAGCCACACGCTTGTGAGTGGTGGGCCATGTCCGAGGACAGGGGAGCAGTCAGACAGCAGGGCAGGCATGCGTGTTGTACCTCCAAAGACCTTCAGTGTTCACCCTCCCAAGGCTGTGAAGTGCACACATTATGCCCAATACATGGGCATAAGCAAACCCTAACATAAATACAAACACACACACCAACATTCATGGGCACACAAATACACAAATGCCACAGACAGACACAAATGCACGGACACACGCCTGTCTGCCTTAGCATACACAGTATACACACAAGCACACCCATGGAGATGTACACGTACAGTATATAGTCTTCCAGAAGACATGTGAATTCAGACAATTGAAGTTGATCCATAAACTCAAACTGCAGACAACCAAAGTGAGGTCACTACCCCTGTGTTTGAGAGATCAGATGTGGTTTTGGCACACCGGCAGTCAGGAACCTGGAAGCTACTCTACTTTCTGACCAAGGTCTTCACCTTGTAAACCATGGGAGTTGGTGATGTTGAGGTCCTGGGGTGGCAGTGGGCAGCTATGCTCAGCACCCATCCAGGCCCTCCCAGACTACCACGTGCCCCTCAGATCCTGGGATGTGCGATGATCTCAGCGCTCACAGCCTCCAAGCGCTTCATCCCACGCCACCTGCTCCTGAGCTTTTGTCTGCAGTGACTCATGGGAATGAATGGAACATTCCACTGACTGTGGGGGCAGCCTGGTGGGAGCTCTGATCTCACACTCAAGGTTCTTGGAAGAAACCGAGCTGCGCTGCTCTGGCCCCACAACAGGGACTGATGTGGGGAGGGAGCCCCAGGGACCTGGGGATGTCTCCAGATGCAGACAACAGGACAAGCCCCCAGGCTGCCCAGAACAAAAGAGCAGTGCCAATCTTCAGTCTGCCCACAGCAGCCCAGTGTGGAGAGGGTGGGCACACAGAGGGTCCCCAAGAGCCACTACAGCAAAGTTCAGAGGTGACCGGCAGTAAGGGGGAGCAATCTCTTCCCTCAGGACTTGGCGCACCCGGAGACAAGACAACAGGGTCCCCTTGAAAGTCCCCACCCAATCCAAACACCTGACCCTGGGGAGGAGGGGGAGAAGGAGGAGGGGGGAAGAGTGGGAGGGGGAGGAGGGGGAGGAGGGGGAGGAGAGGGAGGAGGGGGAGGAGGAGGAGGACGGCACCTAGTCTCCAGCACTGCTCTGGAAACAAGGCCCAGAACTACGTTATTTAGGGCCCCACCAAGCTGAGAATCTCCCAGAAAGGATCCAGGCAGCTGCCTGTGCTCTGAATGGAGTTGGGGCAATATGCCCAATGAATTGGATTAATTACTCAAAAGCCAGAGAAATTTTGCTTCTGCCAGGAAAACCACTTTCCTCTTTAATACAAATTCCACTCACAGTCCTGCCAGCCTCCCTCAAATTAGACCACAGCTGCAAACCAAGCCCAAAATACAACACTCAGGCAAGGGACAGAGGCACAGGCTATCTATGTGCTCCATGCTACCCTGTTCCCCCGCCAAGCGGACATAACTAAACTAGCAGGGGAAAAAGTCAGGGAAGATGCTGTCTGCTTCATCCTTCAAGGCCAGGCCAGGGCTGCCAAAATCCAAGCCCCACAGCTCTAGGGGGCCAGCGTGGAGCTCCTGGGAACTGGTCTCCGGGTCCCCCCTGAAGCCTGGTTCTGCCCTATCCATAGGGCTGCTTGTGGCCAGGACCGGGCCTTCTCTGCCCTCCACCGGTCCTGAAAGACAGAGGAACATCAGTGTGGTGGGCATGCACCCCAGACACCAGCAGCAGGCTGGTCACAGCACAGGGGCTTCCATTACCTTGCTCATTCTGCAAGCCCTTTACCCTCTGTGAGAAGGGAATTTTCTCTCTCCTCCCAGTGAAGGGGGATGAGCCCAACCCTGGTGACCCTACTCTCATGACTTAGGACACCTACTCATGGCAGAACCACAGCAGTGTCCCTCAGCACTGGTCCCTAAAGGCAGTGAAGACATATAACACATGCCTTGTCTATCACACGTCCTGGTGGCCCAGTGCATTACAGAAAACACCCAGGACTCCACACAGTCATTTCCACATGTGTTCACCCAGTCACACGTGGTCACACTCTACCTCTGTCCCTGCCAGTCATCCTGATCATCACCAGACAAGGAGAGGGAGATGACATGGGAACCTTAGGTCAGAGAGCAAAACTGGGCCTGGGCACAGTCTCCCTAGTCCTGTCAGGTTGGACACAGGCCCTAGGGTCAGGGCCTGTGTGGGGAAAGGCAGCCTGGGCTCACAGCCCCACTCACCCAACCACCAATCAGGATTGGTGGTCAACAGAAAGGGTGTTCCATCCACCACGTCGGACCCTGTCCCTGGGGTGTATCTGGAGATGAGAAGATCCCTTAGTGGCCACAAGTGCACCTGGGCATCAGAAACTCAAAAGAAACCAATCCCCATCCTGCAAAGGTACTTCTGACTCCACGGAAGCTCAGCCTGCCAGGACCAATTGTAGAAATCACAGCTACGGGGTGCTGGCCCTAGCCATAGGCCTCTGCTGAACAGCAATCCATGCTGGCTTCTCTAGCCATGGCCCCATCCCTCCCTCTCCCTCCCACACCCCAGCTGGTGTGTGCTCCCCAAACACAAATTTATTTCATCATCAGCCCAAACAAAAGACAATTAGGACACAAAAATGTTTTAGAAACACATTATCAGAGAGCCACATGGTGAGTCTGGTTTGGGCCTGTTGCCTGGGCCGCCTCTCAATGTGGGGTAGAAGTCAGGACCAGAAGCTTACAGAAGTGGAGAAGGGCACAGACCAGTGCTGGGCTGAAGACAGGCAGGTGATGGCTGCCACACACAAGACGGACGGACGAACGGACGGACGGACGGACAGACAGACGCACTCACCTGGTATCAGGCACAGATGTCAAGACCAAGTTGGTCTCCTCATCCAGCATGCCAGGAGATTCAGTGTCCCTGGTGAGGGATCCCACAGGGTGCAACCCGCTGGAAACAGTGTCGTTCGTCTGGGGGCTGGCTAACTGCCATGAGTGAGGAAGCCAGGGTGAGAGCCCGGGACTCAGGCTGGAAGGCTCTGAATGGAAAGAAAAGTGGTTAGCCCTCACGGTTTAAGCCAGCACACATGAAAGCCAGAACAGAGAACCAAGCAGGGGAGTGTCCACAACCAGGTGTCCTACTTCAGGTCAGGACAGGTTCCTGGAGAAGGTAGTCCCCAGGCCTTGGATCACTCATGGGTTCAAGGCCAGGAGTTCACCTCAGCAGTGCTCCTGTCACCTCGAGTTCCTCCCTCAGACTGGCTGCCTGTTCCCAGGACCCCTACACCTGCGGCTGCTTGGAAGTCCTGCCCAGGCAGCTGACACTTCTAAACACGGCAAATGCATACGACAACAGACAAGACCAGCCAAGAGGGACAAGTGTAAACTGTCATCAGAGGCTCCCCACCTGGTGACTCACTGGTACCTACTGACCAGGGTGTGGCGCTGGGGAGCGAAACCCCATGTACTGGAGGTACAGCTGGAAAGAATGCAGGCCTCAGAGTCATCCCGATTTCAGCAAGGCAGGGGCGAGACAGCCAGCTGAGGCCAGACTCTGGACACAGGCAAGGCAGCCCCTTCAGCAACAGCGCCAACCATTTAGGGGTCAGAGGTCACCTGGCCCACCCAGGGAATGACAATGTGTTCTAGGGTTTACCAGAGGGGGAGGAGGGTCTCTCCAGAAGTTCTGGCATGTTCTCCATGACTTGACTCTGGTCCATACCCAGCATCCCACAGCATGGGGGTTCCTGCGCCCTGAAAGAGTGTAAGAAATTAAGGAGCTCAGAGCTCTATAGACCAGAAAAGGAAGTAAACCCCATTCTTCCCAGTGTCCCGAGTCTGCTGACAAGATCACCCTGTGCAATACTGTTACAGCAGGCTCTCAAGGGACCATTATAAAGACCCGCTGGGCATGAGCAGTAACGTCAAAGGTGCGTGAGGGCTAAGTGCTACTATGCAGTTAAATACTATTGTTCAGACAGAGCCCAGGGCCAAGGACGGGCCACAGGGACACTAACCGAGCCGCAGATGCTTTTGCTATCCCGGAGTCTGGCTTGCCGTCCGCGATCTGATCCGCCAGGGCTACCTGTAACACGTTCCCCTGCCACACGTGCCACATCTCCTGGGAAGGCTGAGGAACCGGAAAGTTTAAGTCCATGCAAACCAGCTCAGGGTAGAGAAAGCAGTGACGACGTTGCTGCCCCCAGCCCAGCCTCCCCATCAGATGCCCAGAGATGCCCAGGGATCCCCTGGAGCTTAGCCTGGGCCCAGAACAGGGACTGACGCTCCACTCCTCAAACGGTTCTCGCGTCAGGCTGTATCCACCCAGCAGCTTGGCCGCAGGGCCTGGAGTCATCAGAACAGAGTCCTCCTCAAGCGCAGGCAGGGCTAATGTGCACGGGACTGTCGATCGGGATGCAGTCTTGAGCTCAAAGGGTAGGAAAAGTCTAAGTGCAAGTATTCTTGGTCTGAATCGGGCTCGTGGAGACCCTGAAACCCCCTACGCTGGCATCACAGGGGCGACTAACCAATCAACAGTGTTGTGGAGTGCACACTTGCCCCTCTTGTCTGGATGCATTGTGAGGGTGCAGATCATGGGGCCACTTTGGGCTGAAGGACGGGGCCCAAGGAGGCAAGGAGAATGCCACCCCTAAACAAGGATATCACAGAGCAGATGCACGGCAGACGCCCGGCAAGGCCCACCTGCTTACAACTCACAGGGAGCTGCTCCCAGCCAGGAGCCATGCTATGAGCCAGCTGAAGGAAGTACACAGCCATCTCCAGGACCGATGCCATGTCCTCTCGCCGGCCATCAAACTGAGGCAGCAGACCCCGCAGGCGCTCACAGCTCAGGGAGATCCGCCTCCTGCTTCACCAGAAGGGAAAGAGCTCCGGAACCCATGCCTGAGCAGCAGGGTCAGCCCTCCAGCAACCCGGCGGCTTCGGGACTGTTACACACAGTAACTATTGGCTGAGGACACAGCCCTGAGGCAGCTCGGCTCTGGAACCCGTAAGGGTTAACTCAAGTCGGGAGTCTAGCCTCTAGAGGATGACTACACTGGCCTGTGGACCACCAGGGTTTCAGAACAAAGCAGCTGTAGTGACGCCCCTGCCTTCCTTCCACAAGGCTGAAGTTTACTAGGGGATCTCGTGTTAATCCCGGTTGGTCCAAATGGATAGAACCTGGTTAAAACCACGGACCTAAGCTCCTCCGCCCTTTCTTTGAAGCGCTGTCTATCCTGAGGCTGCCCTCACCTGCGTTCTCTCTCGCTGACCACGTTTCTCCGAAGACTGGAGCCACAGTCTGCAGCGGCCACAGGACCTGTGCGGGGGCGTAAGCCCTGTGAAGGAGTCTGTAAGCTGTCCCGAGTCGCAGGCTGAGGAGTCCTGCTGCAGAAAACAGAGCCAAGACCACCTGAGAACCCCACAAAAGCCACCAGCACCCCACATGGAGAACTAAGCCATTTGGGGTGAACTCTGGAAAAAAGCGGCAGACAGGCCTGGGTCATCCAGGAATACCACCTTGCCAGCCCATGACCCCTTCCCGGTCCCTCCACGCCAAGATGGGGTGCTCTGCCCGGCTGTGCCAGGCAGGATCAAGACAGGAAGTAGCTCCTGGGCAAAGAAAGGCCTTGGGACCCAACTCTCTCAGAGTCTGTCAATCCACACTGCACCTGCATCCCGTGAAGCCGGAGACTCCATAATCCTCAGTGGTGCGCTCGCGGCCGCTGGACGCCATTGGCACGAAGTTGGAGGGAAGGAAGCAACACACCGGAAGCCACAGATAGCCCCAAGCGCTGCCCACCAGCCTGCTCTCTCCCCACGCTGCCTACCCCCGGCAGCGCAGCATCTCACCAGCACCTGGAAGCCCGCTGGCACACAAGCGGCTCGCCACCTCCGCCCCTCACGCCTGCCCACCTCGTGCTGGGCTTGCCCCGCCCCTCCACGTGTTTGACTCACTGCTTCACGTGCTGGCCTTCAGGCCACGTGACCCGACTACAGTCCACGTGATGGCTTGCAGTCCGGGTTCTGGCCCCGTTGCCAGAAAGTAGCAAAATGATTCCACCCGTCAGGTCTCTAGCGGATTTTTAGGGGCGTGGCCTGCCGGGTGCCCGGGCCTTTTTTTGCGCTTTTGCCAAGAGTTGGTTCCTTCCTACTCAAGGTAATTCTGTGCCTACAGCTCTCTGGAGTGGCCTCTGAGGCTATTTGGAGCCCGGCCCCGTCCCTCAAGAAGCTCACAATCTAGCTGGGAGAGGGAGGCTGGCCCACTGTGTAGGTGACACCTATGGGATCCTGGCCAGTCACAGGAGGTCTGTAGGGTGTCCAGGCATGCCCTCCCACATTGTTCCTTCTAGCAGGAGTTCTTCCCAAGTGCACTGTTATTACCCACACTACAGGATCACCAGAGCCAAGCAGCACCTGCCCTCCCCTGACTCACCTGGCCTGCCGTCGCCAACCTAAAGTGACTGGCTCTACTTACCAGCAAACCACAGAGCTGCCGTCATTTAAGCCACATGAGCCCTGGGTCCTGCTGTCAACCACATGCACCAGCCACGACCAGGAAAGTACCAAAGTTTGGAGACCCCCCCCCATCTGGAGCCCGTCATCAAAAGCTCCATCCCACCCTGCAAGTGTCCCTCAGCAAGTATTCCTTGGGTGACTGGGAGGTGGGAGGGAGGAACGGGAGAGCAGGGAGAGGCCTGAAGGGATGAGTCGTGGTGAGGGATGGGTGTTGGGGATGTGGACATTCCAGCGGGGACTTCTTTCTTGGGGTAGTTGATGGAGATCACTACACCTGTCCTGGGGAAACTGCAAGAATGGACAGGCAGCCCCACAGAGCAAAGGGCGTTGCCACAGAGTTGGATCTCTTGCCTCTGCTTCCAGCTGGGGTCCCGGGTGGAGCCATGGGTGATGGGGCTGGGCATCAGCTGGAGAAAGGTGATACCGGGGAGATGTAGGAGCAGTCTTACCCCTCTCTTCATCCGTGCCCTGCTCAGGCACCAGGAAAACACGGTGGTTGGCCCAGCCAGGGCCGCAGGATGGCAAGGAGAGCCAGAGGCACTGCTGGCATGGGCCCACGAGCCTTGGACTGAAGAAAGTCCCTGATTCTGGGGTGGGGTGTGGCGCAACAGCCAGGACTTGCTCTTTGCACTGGAGGCTCAGGGCAATGGACCAACCTCTGAAACTGTAAGCAAGCCCCAATTAAATGCTTTCTCTTGCAAGAGTTGTGTGGCCATGCAGCCCTCACAGCAACAGAACACTGGCTAAGACAGTCTTTGGAGAGACTTGAAGGTGTAAAGTCAGGGGCCAGCATTCTGCGAACCCTCCAGTATATTGACCTGGGCCCCCAGGAAGAGACTGGGTTAGACACGCCTGGAGAAAATAATGGAAGTTGGCTTAACCCCCACCCATCTTCTGGGTATCCTGTGTCTCGTCTCTCCTGCCCCCACTCCTCACTGCCACAGTGTTGGTTTGGTGAGGGTTATTCAGAACACTGGACCACAAAGGCTCCTGGGACCCAGAAGGCCCACAGTCAGGTTTCAGGGTGTCTTGTGAATACCCCACCTACCAGAGTGTTGTCCTGAGTCACTGGGCTGTAGCACCTGAGGTTGGGACAGCACCCTCTCTGCTCCCGGTTGGAAGGTGATCATGTGACTGGGGGCCAGGCAGAAGTCACTGTGCTACCTGAGGTCTGCACAGCACCTCAGCCTAGCAGGCTCCTGGCAGTGGGGCACCACCTAGGGCACTCTGCCCACTTTAGCACTGTTGGGAGAGGAGGAGGAAGGGGAAAGCTGGTGGACACAGCAGCAGCAGCAGCGTGGTGTCATCGATGCTTGCCCACTTTAAACGCAGAGGCCCTTCTCCTTCCCAGTGTCCCACACAAGCCTGAGTCACCCAAGTTAGGGCACATAGCCCTGGGGCACCACGATTAGGGTTTCTGGCTGTTAAGGGTCTCCTTTCCAGCTTTCGGAGTGAAGAGCTGAAATTCAGTGAGGAAATGAGTGGTCCCCAGCAAAGATGTACATGAGAGTCAAGACGCCCTTTCAGGTCTCGGCTTGGACCAGACACGGACGCCTTAAGGGTGCGATCGGCAGGGGGCGCGCGCGGCCAGGCGCCTGAACCAGGATTTCCCGATTTTTGTTGTTGCCCCGGCTCCCCAACACACGCTCGCGCGTGTACACACTCACACAATCTTGGAAGAAAAAAAGACTAAGTGTCTCGGGGCAAAGTGAAGAAAGGGCGATTGCGGTTTCTGACTCCTGCCCCACCGCGGTTCTGCAAGTCACTTGAGGACCAGAGCGCATCTGGAAACATTTGCTGACAACGGCTCACGGTGCCCCCCAGGTACGGGCTGCTGCACCACCCCGCAGGAGTTAGCACCTTCCCGTGGAACTTCCCGTTGATTCCCCTGTTGTTTCACGCTCCAGGACACCACCTCCTATCCCCTTGTGCCAGAACCTCTCAACCTCAGGATCCTCTCTGAAGCCACTCTTGGGGAGGAGCCTTTGTTTGGACTAGCCAGCTGGTGCCACAGGAGTGCACTAGATGCCGTGGTGACCTGAACACAGCCATTTCTAGGTCCAGAACTTAGAGTGCACAGGCATGGGTGGCATGAGGGACTGGAGAGGGATAAGGTGAGTTGCAGAGAACACCTCTCCCTCATACCCACCCCCCTGCAAAGAGTGCTCAGTTGCAGGCTCGGGGAAAGATGCAATGCATCCCACAAGATGCTTTGCATGAGCATCACAGAAGGGGACTCCCCAGGGCAGTTCCTCCCAGGCACAGCCCCTGGGACGAGGGTGGGTGTGAGCTGGCACAAGACAGTAGTCAGTGGTGGTTCTCTGCTAGTCACTTCTTAGCAGCTACTGACTGTCAACCCCTGTGAGGAAGGGCTTCCAGCCAGGGAGCCAGCCCTTCTAGACAGCAGGAACACATAGCTTTACCTACCCAGTGACCATATGCATGCCGCACTTCCAGCCAGGGAGCCAGCCCTTCTAGACAGCAGGAACACACAGCTTTACCTACCCAGTGACCACATGCATGCCGAACTGGTGGAGAGGCACAGGGTCATCGCTGCACATTGATGGCTTTGACCCTGGTCCTGGTCCTCCCTGCTCCCTTCCCCACCCCTTTCCCTCCGGGTGGATGCAGCTAGTCTCTGCTTTTCTGAGGCCAAGCACACCAAAAGGCGTGTAGGAGATGCCACTGCTGATGGGGGACTGAGTTTCCCCTGTGTAAAATGAGAGGTGGAACAGCTGGTCTTTGAGGATCATTCTGGGTGAAGGTGCGGGTCTTCAGCTGGGGCATTGAGGGTTAGGAACACGGGAGGCAGTGTTGTGGCTGCAGCAAACGCTCTGAATGCCCGCAGTGTCCTTGGGAAGCAGACAGCACCTGGCCCTCCCCTGGCTTCCCTGGAGTCAATCAAATAGTGGCTGTCAGGCAGAGTAAGTCCAGGAGGGCTCTCTGTGACCTTGCTGTCCTGGGACCCTCTGCCACTCACCTCCCTGGACATTCAACCTGTCTCACTTCACTGCCCGAGGCAGTTCAAGCATGAACTCTGTGTCCCTGAGGTCTGGGCTTCAGCTCTAGGACTGGTGACATCTTCCATCTGGCACTGTCCACGAATTCTCAGTCCCACCCCCGTCTGAGCCTGGCCTCGGTCCCTGCAGAGATTCGCTCTTAAATCTGCAGGCGGAGCTGCTGTCAGGACTGGAGGGCTGGTGTGTTAGGCAGGGAGAGTAAGGAGAGGTGAGCCTGCACGGTACCGAGGCTGACAGTTAACAGTGGCCTCAGCGGAGGCCGAGGGTGGGAAATCTATGGGCAGATTCCTGTACCAGGACTCGCAGGCAGGGACAGTGGAGCAGCCCTGCCTCGGATATACCTCAGTTTTACAGGTGCTGGGAAATGTGGCATCCCACCCGCAGTGTCTGCCAGCCCTGTGCCAATGCTGCTCGGACAAAAGTAGGGGTCCAGAGAGGAGCTCTTGGTCCTTTTGATGGCAACTCTATATCTGAGCCCCAAACTCCCTGACTCCATCTATTGCCTCATCTCAGGGCCCTGCAGTGCGGCCCCAGGCCCCAGTGACCTCAGGGTCACTAGACATTGTTGTCTTCTGTCACGCTCCTTTTTGTGATTCAGGCAGGATTCTTCTGCCCCAGGTGACAGACACTATGACACAAGGAGGGGCCATGGCATTGCTGTCTCCACCCCCTACTCCCCCCACACACACACCTTGGTTTTTCAAGACAGGGTTTCTTTCTCTGAGTAGCTCTGGAATTCGCTCTGTAAACCAGGCTGGCCTTGAATTCACAGAGATCCGCCTGCCTCTGCCTTCTGAGTGCTGGGATTAAAGGTGTGCGCCACCACCGCCCCGGCCAGCTTAAAGCCGGAGAACTCCTCTCTGCCATCACAGTGCACTTCCCACCAGAGCTGGGACCTCTCCTGGAACTGTGTGTTCTGAACAACCTGGATCCCAGCCATCTTGGAACCTTTTTGGCCCTGAAGACTAAGGGCACAGAACTTGATCCTGGCCTCCAGCCAGTGTACATGTCTGGCTAGCCCTCTGGGTCTGTTAGGAAGCAGTGCCTTCCAGGGCAGCAGGAAGTGGTCCAGGCCCCATGGGAAAGATTCTCAAGGGCCCACATACAGCTCTGGCGGGCAAGAGACACAGCCAGACAGCTCTGTAACTGAAGTGGGGGAGCTCAGGATACCACAGGCATTGGGTTTCAGCAGCAACTCAGGAGAGCAGAGTAGGAGCAGGGGACAGAATGGTCCCCCGTGCCAACTGCAGGTGTTGCCTAGGTCCTTTTACACAGCATACTGAGAGTGCTAGCTTCGGCCACCAGTGATGTTGCTTGGACAGTCTGGCATGACATAACTCTGTTCTGTTGTCATGACT